ATTGGCTGAGACATCTTTAATGGGGTTAAGTGTGAAATTATAAACCCTGCAATGTCCGTCATCAAAGAAGCTAACAAAAACATGCCGAAAAGGCGCGTCAAAAGAAACAAAGCGGCACGTGGTGGTGATGGTCGGTAAGTCAAAACGCGTCAAGCGGACCGCATAGCTGATAGCTGGATCGAAACGCGTCTCTATTGTGCCATCAGCAGACAGGGTGCAATCGATCAAGCAAGCAGCAGGCGCGCTGACTTTGTTTTCGGCTCCGGGTAACTTACTGCCTCCGACGCCATGCATGCACAAATAGAGTGGTTGTAGGCAGTGTCGCATGCATTGTTTTCTTTAACGTTAGGCCGTAAAGAAGTGTACCTCTTGCTAAAAGAGCTCGTCAAAGTCTACTTAAAAACTGGGATTCTAGGCAGCCGAAAAGAGGCACGCTTTAGATCGACAACAGGTGAGAAAAGTGTTAGACATGTCTAACATGATCGTTTGCAAACGATCTTGACGGAAATAAAAAGGCATGGAGTGATGTTGTACTCCTGCAACAGTCAAAATTCGTCTGAAATGTGTTGTGCAGGTCCCGTACAAACAGCGGAATTTCACTCAGGGGTTGGTTTACAGCCGTGGAAAGCAAATAAGACGTACGAATTTATCAATGACTAAACAATTTGTGAAAAGCATGACGAACATTAAGAGTCCTGGAGTTAGAAGCCATATCTTTATGTAGGGGATACCGATTAACCACGATGTAGGTGAAATGTGTGTTACACAGACAAGAGGGTGCATTTTTCGAGGCTCTAATATGCAGTCAAAAACTAATAATTGACATACCGTGGAAGTCGGGAATTTTTGCCACCCATTCGTCTTATCAGATCTTCATGACTGAGTTTTAGTTGATCAGGATAAACGGTTGCCGTCCAGGAGTATTCCCCTTGATTTATTGCAGAAGTCAGCGACTGGAGTGAGGGGTGAGTTTTAAGTGGTTGCACCGGAGACTGCAGAGCGTAGGAGAATCCTAGAAAATTGCTAAAAACGAGAGACGATGTTTGAGTAAAGCAAGGCGCATCGACAAAATATGCTTAAATTAAGATTATGGAAAATATCAGACACCAAATTCCCCAGTTTCTCATGAAAGGCAAAGAGAATTTAAACTTACTCCGAATGGACCTTCTTTACAGCTTCAAATTGCCAGAACTGTTTACCCACGACATTGTGACTGTATCCCGTCAACGTTTTGTCGCAAATTGACTCGCCGGTTTTGTTATCAAAGGCAAACATGAAAAGCCACTTTCGATTTGCAATGGTGGCCTCAAAACCCTGTTAAGCATGAGAACTGTGAATTGAATAGCTACCTGATTGTAAATGAGAGTCCATGTGCCTCTGTTATCGAAATCGTCATGGACCAAGTTTGGATACAAAAATGTCAGTTCGACTTGGGCATCCTTTTTAACTGAACACACGTGAGCCAGAAGATGTGCAACATACATGTACCACTGCAGTGATCAAAGCACTGTTTAAGAGTTATTGTCCAAACGCCACGTGCGTCCTCATATGTGCAATTAGCCGGGGTGTCCCCGAGACAGGTATCAAAAAGAAAGAGCAGAAACAAAATTGGTAGATAACGCATGTTAATTATCTTCCGTGGGCTGCCACAGTCGAAATCTACAATAAAATACTGTTAGCAACCATTCCGTTCAATTAGGAGAATTAATAAAAGCCGGAGCGGTAGTAGATAAACTTTATGAACCAAAGTAACTGAAATGTGAGTAAGTTGTAAAAGTGAAAATATTAACAAATTCCGTGGCCAATGTATATGTTTCCAAAACGCAAGACTCAAACTGTCGGCTAAACTGTCGTATAGGCTAAGAGTTAAGCAGCAAGCAGTATAGATTCTAGTTACGCAAACGGATTGCGGAATAGCATTTAATTTGGGCAATCAGACACTTAACTTGGACATACCAGCTGTGATTTGTCTTGAAACCAAATATTGAGTTTCCGCAGTGCAGACTTCTAATACCACCAATAGCAGCAGAAAGAACATGGGCCCGTATCTCAAGCGGTCTTAGGGAAGTTTAGGAAGGAGGCAGTCTTGGCAGAAATCGAAGGACAATTCAAGTGCTGTCCCACTTTACCCCCAAATCAGCTTTCGTCTGTGGCTGCACGAAAATGTGTCCTACGCAGCAACCACGCCTGCTCCGCGGGGCATTTCAAATAAGGGTAGCCAGTTGAGTTTTTCTATCGAACTACCCAGATTTAATTATCGTTAAATCTGGGTAGTTCGATAGAAATACGCAAACCATATTGTGGCGTGAAACGGCTTTTGTGTAGTCACTCGCAACTCCCCGTGAGGAGGACAACAAACAAAGGATCGCGAGTTCGAGTTTCGGGTGCTGCAACACCTGTGCTTGGATGTGGCTGGCTGATGATAGTCAATAAGCCAGAAAGTGCTACTGCAGTCTCCCCTGTCTTGATCGACAATGCTCATCTGCCTATGAAACTGGCCATTGTTTAGCTGCTGACGGGTGAACCCCAAAGCATGATGTGATGAGTGACTTCCGTAACCAATCTATGAGTGCCCATCCATCAACGCTAATATTCGCGATAAAAACTGACAGGACGACGAGCCCGTGCCCTAATGGCTGGAGCAT